TAATCTTCTTTGTGCCTCGACTGTTTGTGAAATGCTTTGGTAACAGGAACAAAAAACAACGTTCATCATAAGGAATCTATTTCGTAAATAAAAAAATATAACAAAATAATAAAATAAAGATGTGGAATTAGAGATGAAAGAAAGTTTTGCAAATAATTTTTGGTATTGTTTACATCAATAATACAATGGTGTCCGAAAAACCTTTTTCATAGATTGAATTGTGTCTTTGAACGTCTAGGTCAGACTTGTAAAAAATTCAGTGAAGATAGTTGCTGTGAAGAAATTGAAATTTTTTAGCAAGAGGTAGACCATTAGAAATATTCGAAAGGGGGGTGTCAATTACCAAAAGGATTCTTTTGAAATGAAATTGTCCAGAGTAAATTACTGCAAATAGACGACCATCGAGAAGAAAACGATTCATAATGTGAGTGGAGTGCAATTTGGTCTGAAACCATACGCGTGATTTTAAATTCTGCCGAGCGCGCAGCGCGAGTCTTATATGAAATCACAAGTATGATTTCAGACCAAAAATTGCACTCTTGTCATTTCAATTACTTTATTACAGCCATTTTGAAATCGCAAAATCCAGTCAGTACCTATATTTTATTGGTCCAGTAGCCGGTTTTTTGAAAAGTGGTATCGGAAACGCTTTCACATCTTATTTTGTATACGAAATAGGAATGTTGTGCTTTAGAGCAAAAACGATATGATTTAGAACAGAAATGATGCAATTTAGGACAGATGTGATGAAGAACAAAAAATAGTATGTTCCGTGAAAATGTAATTACACGGCTAAAAGCCAATCAGATTGCAAAGATCACATGTCATTTCAAAATGGATGTAATAAAGAGCCTAATGAACAAAATATTGTTAGAAATGGCGGCTCAAATGAAAGTAGTGCACAGAAATTTTTCCTCCATGCGTCCTAAAACCTTTTTTATTGTCCATCCCTAACGCTTGAGTTGACGAGTTGACAAGTGTCTTGGATAGCCTGCTTAAAAATAGATGTAGAGGATCATGACAGTTTAAGACGCAACTTATGCAGTTGCGAAAAGAGAGACTGAAAAATTCAAGCTTGCCGAGATTCTAACCCTGACCACTGCGATACCGGTGCAGCGCTCTAACCTAGTGAGTTATTAAGCGAGCTGGGAACTGGTCATTAAATTGGTTATTTCATCTTCCTCTTTCCCGGGTATATTACGAACCAAGGCAATTTAATGACCAGCTTTCAGTTGGCATAATGGCTCAATTGGTTAGAGGGCTGCACCGGTATCGCAGAGGACTCAGGGTTCTATTCTCGGCAAGCAGGAGTTTTTCCAGGCTCTGTTTACATGGTTCGTACGGAGTCGTGAGTTCTTGAAAAAGTATTGAAATTTGCAAAGTAATTTTCCAGACCTAGATAAAGTCTGGAGGGTTTATTTCTATTGATCACCTATTTGGTAACTTTGAGGCTGGAAAAATAAACCATTGTTTTGGAAGAGTCCAGAAAATGTCTTGAACTTTGGATCCAAAAATCTGGGCGAATCCTGTGTTTAAGTTGCTTCTTTAACCGCGATGATCTCCCTTACATTTATTTCTTCATCTCGCAGTTCCACTGCCGGAATACATATGAATTAGATATAATTTTATTTATCATTTCATGATCTACTTAGGTTATCGACTGGCATTCAACTACCTCAAGGCCAAGCGCCTGGTGGACGCTATTGACGTATGTCATAAGGTATGTGTCACACATTTTTTTCTATTTTATTCTTTTTTTATAGTATTACTAGGAGGTAAATTGTCTGGGCGAGATTAGTTATTACAGAGGAGGTCGCTAAATCGAATGAGTAACCAACAGCAGAGCTGGAACAGCTTACAAGTTTCTTAAACCTTTCACCGTGTGTTATTGAAAGGCAACTTCATCAGCTTGCGTACAAATGTCTTCTAGTTAGCTTGTCTTCACTAACCAGTGCTTCACGTGGGCTTAATGTAAGAGCCTATAATGGATACCACCTTTAAGCTTTGAAGCGCGCGGAGGTATCATATATTTGTTTGTTCGGTTCTTTTGTTGTTGTTGTTGTTGTTGTTGTTATTATTGCTTGTTTTTTTTTTGTATACGTAGCACTTAAACGAGAGCTTTCCCTCATCTTAACTCGCTCAGTTTTTCACTCATTCACTCACTCATCCTGCACTCACTCCTTTGCAGGTTTTAAACCAGCATCCAAACTACCCAAAAATCAGAAAAGAAATCCTGGATAAAGCACGTCAAGCGTTGAGGGCGTGACTCGTTTGATTGCTATGTAGCCAAGACGCTGGACGTTTTGTCGTTAAATTTTTTATATAGACTGGACTTATACACATTCTTTAATTAAGAAAACGTCTTGCTCTTTGAAATCGTACAACAGGCACGGTCTCGATTAATTCAATGCCCAATTTCTCCTTATTTCATGTCTTTCAAGGATAAAAAAAGGCGAGAACGTAATCGGCTGGTTATAAACGAAGTGGGTTCTAATCCATTTTTCGATTTTGCTTTGCCTGGGCCGAGTTGTTGAAGAGGCTCCAGTTGTTCAAAAAGCTGGTGGATAGCGCTGTTCAAAGGATAAATTAATATCCAATGGGTTAGCATTAAGAAAACTAATTGAGTTATCCACTGGATTGTGGTTTATCCGGCTATCTACTTTTTTAACCACTTGGGCCAGACGATAAGCGCAAAACCAGTCTTAGTTACCGTGACAATCCATATACTCTCTTTTGTAGTTAAAAACTAGACATCGTTTACTATGACCAGTTTAATGATGGCTCCTAGTAGAGACTATAAAACACTTATACACACTTTCGTTTGTAAAAGGAAGCGCGGGGGGGGGGGGGACCCTAGACCCCAAAACATCGGGTTCCTTCCTAAAAATCAGTTTTTCAAGGCCCCCGCAGGGATTTTTCGCGAAAGGCGCGCGGCCGTAACCCCCGGGGGGGGGTGCAAGGGAGGGGAAAAAGAAAAACCGTTTTTTTTGGTTTTCCCCCGGTCTCCCACTTTGTTTTGATCCCCCCCC